AGTCCGTTCGAGGAATGGTGGACACAAAACATTTGAGAACACAAATTTGTTAAATTTTAGAATCTATTTGATTTTATAGTGGCTAGGAAAACAATCAGCATGGTAAAAATGTTTGCTTTTTTTTTTTTAACTGTAAAACTGTAATTTCACTCTTTGAAGAAATGGGATGTTAGAGAAACTTTAGGAAAGTTTCACCTGTTGGAAATGGCAGGTCGTCCTCAACATACAATCAGAATGGAGCCTGCCCACCACGGTTGTAAGTTGTGACGGTCATAAACTGGGTCACCCACGTAACCGACTTATTTTTATGACCTTTTTTACAATGGTTATTAAGTCAACGCCACAGTCGTCAAGCTAACCAGCGGTTCAATATGGAACAGTTTTGCCAAAAAACTGATGTAAATACCAGTTTTTGGCAAAATCCATTGAAAATCAAGGTCATGTGATGTCCAGTTGCTGAGCATCTGACTTGCAGTCATGTGACTGCAGGGATGGGCCAGCCATTGGAGCTTCAGAATTGGATCGTAAGTACCAGAGGGAGATCTGTTGCAACTTTAAACAGTCACTGGTCATAAGTTGAGAATTACCTTTATTTTATTTATGAATATGAAGGTATATCCAACAAAGCACAGCAATGTTCTCTATTTCTGCTATAGAAAATTGATTCCCAGAATTCTCTGGGATGGCCAAATTTGTTATGGATTTCTGGGAATTGAAGTCCATTGATCTGGAGAACATTGAAGCTGTCAAAGGCTGTATAACAGACTGATGAGCAACATAGCTAAATTTCTGTAATAAACCCCAGAACAGAAGACTTAGGGTACTAACGCTGTAACAGCGCTACAACTAGCAATATGAGAATGATGTTTAATTAAGATTGCAGGTTGACAGGGTGACAGATAACACAGGAACTGCTTGATCACAGGCAAATTGTCTGAAATTCTTTGTTCTCACAAGCAGATGTGTGGCGATCTAGATAATGCTATCAGCAGAAAACAGTTTTTTTGCAAGGAGCAATGCCCATTAAAATCCAATTAGAAAGACCCAGTCATAATCTTTGATAAATGGTTTTGATTAGTCATGCTGATTGCTTAATTAATGGGTTTAGCTAGCCGTGGGTGGGTGGGGGTGGGTGGAAAATGGTGACAAAAGAGCGGAGGGCCCCTCCATTTTTATCTTTCAGCAAGATCTGCAGAGAGACAGCTGTAGCAATAGATTATGACTGAATGATGTTTTGCAGTGTGGAACATGACTTAAATCCAGGGAATTGTGGCTAGGCATGAAACTCACATGGGGCTACTGGAATATAACAGCCTTCCCAATCTGGTGCCTTTAAACTCCGGGAAGTTTCAGTCAGAATAAGCTGCATTGAATTTCTATTTAAATTGAAATTATAAATTAAATGAGTTTCTAAAATCAAACAGATGAAAGCTACTGTAATAGATGCATTTCTTTTTTTTTGCAAAGCCACATCAGTTTCTGTTTTCCTTTTTGGAAATCATGAACTTGGAGACAAGGTCAATTGATCTGCCGTAGGTGTGAACAGAAATGTCCTGTGGAAAGTGGACAATTAAGAAGAGGTGGTCCTTTTCACTATTTAACACTATTCCAAAGGTATCTTTACCCGTAGATGCTGCAGCCCTGCCTAACCTCATTGTAGTGTCTCCCAAATACTGCAGGATGTTGAAGTGGCTTTTGTTCCTTATTTGTCAGTTTCTCTGTGTTGATCAGTTTCACACACATCTTCCCAATAAAAAACCTGCTTGTCCGTTAGTCACTTTTACTCTACAGTCCCTTGCTCTTCTGTGGAGCCAACTATGCTGTCTTTGGTATGTCTCACATTATTTTAATTTGGGAGATGTCCAAATAGGGTGTTGGAGAATAGACACACAAACTAGGCTGGGGAATTCTGGGAGTTGAAGTCCACACATCTTCGAGTTGCCAAAGATGAGAACATTAATCTAGGAGAACAACTTCTTGAAAATCAATTCTGTATTCGGGTATATATATTGTAGCATTCTTCTTTCCCATTAAAACCAAGAAGTTCTTTATTCTTGTCTGGCCTTCAGGAATGAGGCTCCTGAGAATATAGGTAACCCATTCATTTAGCAATGGTTTGAAATTAACAGCGGCATTGAAAAAGGTGATTTACGACCTGCCCTCGCAATTACGACCATAGGAGCATCCCTCCCCGATCACAACTGGCAACTGGCATCTATTTATGATGGTTGCAGCATCCCAGGTTCACATGATTGCAATTTGTGACTTTTCCAGCACAGTTTCCGACAAGCAAAGTCAATGGGGTAAGCTGGACTGACTTAATGACCGTGTGACTCATTTAACAACAGTGGTGATCTGCAAACCTGGCAAAAAAGCCGAGGTGGCTCAGCAGTTAGAGTGCAGTACTGCAGGCCACTTTAGTTGACTGTGTTCAGCAGGTCAGCGGTTCAAATCTCACCGGCTCAAGGTTGACTCAGCCTTCCATCCTTCCGGGTAGGTAAAATGAGGACCCAGATTGTTGGGGGCAATGTAAATATATATATATACATTGCTTACTGGTGTACACCGCTTAGAGAGTGCTTGCACTTAAAGCGGTATATAAGTCTCATAAATAAATAAATAAATAAATAAATAAATAAGATTGCAAAATCAGGCATGACTTAATAATTTGTTGCTTAACAACAAAAATCCTGCTGGTTATGGTCGTAAGTCGAGGTTTGCCTGTGACTATTCCTTGAACTGCCTTGTGCCTTGAATTTATGGCAGAAAAGTTTCCGACTACAGGTAATCCTCAACTTACCACCACAATTGAGCCCAAAATTTCTGTGGCTAAGTGAAACATTTGTTGAGTGAATTTTGCCCCATTTTACGACCTTTCTTGCCACAGTTGTTAAGTGAATCGCTGCAGTTGTTAGGAACACGGTTGTTAAATGAATCTGGCTTCTCCATTGATTTTGCTTACAAGAAAGTTGCAAAAGTGGATCACATGATCCTGGGATGCTGAAACTGTCATAAATATGAGTCAGTTGCCCAGCATCTGAATTTTGATCAACTGACCGTGGGGTTGCTGCAATGATCGTGTGAAAAACGGTCATAAGCAGTGGTGGGATTCAAATATGTGAACAACCAGTTCTCTGTGTGGATGCCGCTTCTGGAAGTCCATTCTGGGACTGGGCAACAAAAAATTAGCTACTGGTTTTGCCAGTGTGCAAACTGGCTGAATCCCACCACTGGTCATAAGTCACCTTTTTCAGTGCCGTTGTAACTTTGAACTGTCACTAAATGAACTGTTGTAAGTCGAGGACTACCTGTACACAAATACTACAACTGAAGCCTTATAAATAAACATATTTGTAAGGAAAACAAGATAGCAGGAATTTATGCATTTCCCTTGTAGCTGCACAGTGGAAAGAGCTGAGCACAGTTCCAAAGGGCAAAAATATAATTTGAAGCACAGGTGAGAATGATTGTTACACCTGCCAGGAGCATCTTAAACCAAATGGATCTTTTCTTGACGTTATGAAGGGATCCCAGAAGATCAAGCAATGAGGATAGAATGCGATCCATCCGAGATCTCACCAGATTGTTACACAGTCTCCTGGACAGTGAGGTCGAAATTGCTTTTATATTTTGCACCAGGCCTCTCGGGCAGTTGATTTAAGAAGTTTTCATTGACATTTTCCGTTCCTTAGTGTAAACCTTCACCCATTAATGTGGTTCAAGTGGAAATATTAAAAAGGGAGTAGTAGTGCACTAAATATATATATAAAACTTTATTAACCTACAGGCTTCGAAAGTCATGTCATGACCTGCTTGCTCTAAGAAAGTGAGCCAAAGCAGATCAAAGAATTTTAAAAGTGGGTGAGGCAAGAATACTATTACACAACTATGAGTGTGGTCGGGTAAGTAATATGTAAGCAAACCAATCTCTGCCCTTGTTTAAATCAATCTGTCCTGTTACACCATCGTGTCACTGAGAGATAGCAGCATACCTGTAGGAGTTTAATATTTAGAAACTACCTGTTAAATGAACACAGTTGTGTTTTATTAAAGTGCGTTTAAAATTTAAATATCTGAACCCTGCTTTATATGGATCTCCCTTCTCTGACATCTTGACTTAACCCATTTTTCATTTAAAACTCGATAAACATAGGGCAGTGGTTCTCAACCTGTGGGTCGGGACCCCATTTGGGGTCGAATGACCATTTCACGGGGGTCACCAAACAACGCAGTCCGCCATTTTTTCCTTTTTCCCTAGCTGTCCTACTCCCTCTTATTGGTGGCCACACCCACTTGGGGGTCACCACAACATGGGGAACTGTATTATGGGGTCACGGCATTAGAAAGGTTGAGAATCACTGACATCGGGTCTTAAAAAAAATAGGGAATTATCATTATCCTTCTGCTGCTTTCCGATGAACTGCTCACCTGGGGCAGCCACATTTTATTTCTGTTTTATTTATTTGTCAAACAACAATTACAAATTCGAACGAACAAAAGCTAAAATGTGACAGGGACGACAGGCAGGTTAATGCACTTAGCACTAACTCCAAGGTAATCTTTTCAAAAGGCAACTGGATTTTCTTGGTTTGTTTTCTTTGAAAACATTTCGCGAAACGTTTTCAAATAAAAACAACGTCCAGGTGCCTTTTGGGAAAAGAGAAAAAAAAGCACCTTTGGGACAACCATGACTAGGATGGTTGAGAATCTCCACAGGCACATAAACAACTGTGCCAGATGCCTTTTGCAACGTTGAAAACGACTTAATTCACCACCAGCAAGTTTACCTTCAAGCTCAGTCAGCGCTCCTCACTCCTGTTAGGTCAGTGTTTCTCAACCTTGACAATTTTAAGGCATGTGGACTTCTGGGAGTTGAAGTCCACATGCCTTAAAATTGTCAAGGTTGAGAAACACTGTGTTAGGTTTACAGCGGCTCTCTGCACACGCCGGTACACCTTAAACCAGCATAACTGAAAATAAACCGAGACACGACCCGAAAGCTCCCCAAAGAGCTTTCACTGGAAGATTTTAAGAAGGGATTGGACAGCCACTTGTCTCAAATTGTATAGGGTCTCCTGCTTGAGCAGGGGGCTGGACTAGAAGACCTCCAAGATCCCTTTCAGCTCTATTCTGATTAAGGAAACAAGTTAAGTTGCAGGGCCTAGTGGGCGGCGGGAAAGACGCAAAGCCGAAGGGGAACGCATGTCGCAAATAGCGTTGCGTGTTGCGTGAGAGTGGCTGAGAAAGCGCAAAGTCAGTAAGTTGCAACACAAAAGCTGAGAGGGAGGAGCGAACCTTTCTGCTGCCCCGGGCTGAGCAAAAAGTGTGCTTGGCGGGCGGAACGGCTCTCAGCAACTCACGGTCGGCAGAAGCAGAGAGGTGCAAGGAGCAGAAGCAGCCCGGCCTAGGTCGGTAGGCAGAACGTATCTCTTTGGGCGCGGACTCGAGTGGATCAGTGGGTGGGGTGGGTGGGTGAAGGGCGCGCGCGCGACTGGAAAACAGGCGCGCTTTTGCAGGCGCCAAGTTCCTTTTGCCCGCTGCGCCCTGAAGGCGGATTGGCGTTTTTGCAAAAGTTGCGCCCGCTTGCCAGCTTGCTTGGTGCTAATTCCTAGATGGGAGGGTGGTTGGTGTGTGTGTGTGTGTGTGTGTGTGTGTGTGTGTGTGTATGTATGAGAGAGAGAGAGAGAGAGAGTTGAGTGAAAGCCGGGCGGTGTTTTCCTTAGAGATCAGCGGAGAGTGCAGCTCTCTCCACGCCTTCCATCTGGGACTGGGAAACCTGCTCATGTGCAGGCTTAGAGACGCGCACCGATCTGCAGGGCTTTTTACAAATCCGGAAGAAGCTCTGCTTTCGATAGAAGAGGCTGTCTGTAGCTCGGAGCTGAACTGTGAAGGCTTTTGGTGCGCTGCGAGCTTGCTTGCAGACATTTCATTGTCCCGACTAGGTCGCATCATTGGGGCTGGTGAGCTTGGGAGCAAACCTCACGCTCCCTCACACTGATGATGTGACCTACTCGTGGAATGAAACTTCAGCAACCAAGCTGGGAGAGCACGAAGGACTCCAGGCCTCTACTTCGCTGCCTGAATCCTTGATCTGTTGCCTCATTATGGGGAACGGGAATTCTCAGAGGGGCTGTGCAGAAAGGCGTGGGGGTTGCACACCATTCATTTCACTGGTGGATTTCAGTGCCCTGTTGCACAGCTTGGTCATAGTTCAGAGTGTAACTCAATTACTAGATAGTAAATCTGGTTTGATTGCAAAATGGAATGGCATTTGTATAGAACAGGGGTAGGCAACCTTGGCTCGCAGGAATTCTGAGAGTTGAAGTCCACTAGTCATAAGAGAGCCAAGGTTGCCTACCCCTGATACAGAGATCAAGCAACCAACTTATGTTAAGGCCAAATGTAGATTTCATTTAAAAAGAAAAATCATCAGTCCAATCCAAGCTGGGAGTAAACAAAATGGAGACTGCTTTAGGAAAGGTTCTTGTTTGTTGAGTTCCAGGACCAGACAGAAATATGGCTCTGGGGCAGCTAACCACATGGAGCTGGGAGTGGTGGGTTTTTAATACCCTCTTGGACTTTTGTGTTTGGAGTTCCTGTTCCTGTGGCATGAACTTTGATCTGAGCTTTTGAGTGTGTCCTTTTGGTATTCTGATGGTGGTGGGTTAATTGTATTATGTTCTAAAGGTCATGTCCTGCTTTCGCTGGGGCTGATGGCTATGACCTATGTTAGATTTTTGGGTGAGAGATTGCTGTTCTAATTCTATCACTCTGCTATTGTTAATTATCAACTCTTACTCCAAGGGATTTCGAAAAATCCTGACTTCTGCAGGTACTATTTGCTCATGAATGGGCCTGAATGGGATGATCAAATCTGTATTTCTACAGATCTGGCCTGCTTAGTTTCTGTTTGTGGCCATTAAGAAAATCTGGGCCTGCTTTCCTACCTTAAGATCCTTTGGAGAAATATAATATTCTGCCTTTTTAATATCCTCAAAAATATTTCCTTCTGGGGGGGGGGTGTTGACTTCCCACACTAGATAGTAATTTAATTACTAGACAGTAAATCTAGTATGATTGCCGAAATGCAGTGGCATTTGTACAGAGATTAAGCAACCAACTTTGATTTATAGCCAAACATAGATTTCATTTAGTGCCAGTGGACTTGACCTGCCTCCCAAACTGATTCGATCTTAGCTGGTGGGTCACAATTGCTCTGTCCTTGAGCCTAGGGGTGAGAGTCAAGGGAGTGGGAATTCATATTTGCACAAGATGTTAGTTAACGTTTGGCACAGAGTGAAGTCCATCTGCAAGATGCAACTGAGATACAGATTTCGCCACCTGTGGGAATTCAGTTTCAGCCTTAGCTGAGCCAGGAAAAGGGTGAGAAAGAAGTACAAAGGATTTAAGGCGTGTTACCAACTTTGGGGAGGAGAAAATGATTACAGGCCACAGTAGCTGGCTTCGCATCACATACCGTAGTGGTTTTGTGCAAGATAGTTTTCCAGCCAAAAAGGGCAGGAATATATTTCTTCTTTGGACATTGGGTTGATTCAATTTTAAGTATTTACATGCAGGTCATAATCTAAAGTTTAGGGACAGACTGAGATTAGTGGAAAATATTGGTTTGAAGTGTTGTTCGTCCATAGATTTCGATGAAGACCTTGACATCTTGTGGGTTATGGGCCATCAACGATGTGTCCGTAGGTGGCTAATAAGACCGATGTTAGCACGGAATGTTCTGCCACATACTGAACAAAGAAATGTAGACACTGTTAATTCAGCAATTGCAGCTCTGGCTTTGCGGAGTGCTCGCTTTTCTTGTGCCAAGATTGTCCTTCTGTGTTCATATGTCTGGCAACCCTGGTACACCAAGGTGCGCCATGTCGGTCGATCATGCGCCAGAAGTTCCCAAGAGATGGTGTTAATATCCAGGGACTTAAGAGAAGCTTTTAACGTGTCTTTGTATCGCTTCTTTTGTCCCCCGTGTGATCGCTTTCCTTGAGAAGTACCAGACGAGTGTAAATCCAGAAAAAAAATACAGTGCTCATTTATTTATTTATTTGATTTTCTTCCACCTGTATTGTTTTTATAAATACAGATAGTCGTCAACTGATAACCATTCATTTAGTGACCGTTTAAAGTTACACTGAAAAAAGTGAGTTATGTTTGTTTTTCACACTTACCAGCCTTGCTGCATTCCCCTTGGTTACATAATCAGAATTCAAACAGTTGGCAATTGGCTCATACTTATGACAATTGCAGTGTCCTGGGGTCATGTGATCCCCTTTTGTGACCTTCTGACAAGCAAAATCAATGGGGAAGCCAGATTCACTTAACAACCGTGTTACTAACTTAACAGTTGCAGTGATTCACTTAACTGTGGCAAGAGAAGTCATAAAATGGGAAAAAACTCACTTAACAAATGTCTCATTTAGCAACAGAAATTTTGGGCTCAATTGTGGTCCTAAGTCGAGGACTTCCTGTAGTTGGCCCCCATGGCACAACTTTGCTTTTCCAACCAAACTTCTTTAATTGCTGCAGCAACAATTTAGAAAAGCTGTAAAGTGAGGCCTAGCTTATCAAAGGCCCCAAATCTACCACAGAGAAGAAGAAAATCAACGCAAGAGTTTACAGCAAAGTAAAGATGAAAATAGTATCTTCAGCCAGGTCTGGTTGAAGTGCAGTTTATTTTCGTAAGTGCTATTTAGTCAACCCTAACTAAAGGTATATTACAGGTACTGTGTTTCACCATAAATAAGACCAGGTCATTTATTTATTTATTGCCTCCAAAAGAGGCACCAGGTCTTATTTTTGGGGTAGGCCTTACCTCATCTCCGCCACTGACAGCCCCACCCATTTGGTCCACTTATTCTGGGGCCAAAGTTCTGCAGCTGCATTCAGGCCTGCATTTTGCAGTCAGGCCTTTCCAGAAGGCCTAAGCAGACAAGTACCGAGCTATGGATTCAATCCATAGCTTGGTGCTCAACTGCTGAGGTTTTGCAGAACGGAGCAATCTTGGCTGCATAGACCATCTGGAAAACCCTGTGACTGAGAAATGTAGGCCTGGCTGCAGAAGAGGCCTCAGAAGAAGAAGTGGGCCGTCAAGGAGAGGCCTGGCTGCAAGGTAAGTGGGTGTGGGGTGGGTGGGGCACCCCCATACCCCCACCCTAGCTTGATTTTTAGGTGTGTACCTCACCCCCAAAGTGGGGGTTATTTTTGGGATAGGGCTTATATTAGGCCTACCCCCAAAAATCAAGCTAGGGTTTATTGCTGGTGTAGGCTAGGGGTCTGCAACCTTAAACACTCAAAGAGCCACTTGGACCCATTTCCCAGAGAAAAGAAAACATTGGGAGCTGCAAAACTTGCGCGCGCACGCACGTGCACGCACACAAGGGGGGAAAGCTTGATTGAAGAGTTTAATTAAAAAGAAATAGAGGCTGCTGTGCATGAGTTATCTCTCTCTCTCTTTCTTCTCCCCCTTTCTCTCTTTCCTCTCTTTCTCTCTCTCCCTCTCTTGGTCTCTTTCTCTCTTTCCTCTCCCTCTCTCTCTCTCTTTCCTTTCCCCCTTTCTCTTTCTCTCCCTCTCCTGTCCCTCTCTCTTTTTCTCTCTTTCCTCTCTCTCCCCCTCTCTTTCCTTTCCCTCTCTTTTCTTTCTCTCTCTTTCCTCTTTCTCTCCTTCTCTTTCCCTCTTTCTCTCTTTCCTCTCCCCTCTTCCTCTTTCTCCTCTCCCTCTTTTTCTCTCTTCCTCTCTCCCTCCCTCTCCTTCTCTCCCTCTCTCTCTCCCTCTTTCTCTCTTCTCTCTCTCTCTTTCTCCCCCCTTCCTCTCTCTGATCTTCTGCTCACCCGGCAAGCTGGCTTCAAGCTGTTCTCCAACAAGCTGACACAGATTCTTATTGGGCTGGCTCTCTCCTCCCCTTCCTGCTTCCTACTTCCTGCTTCCTGGAGAGACGCAGCCAAAGCAGGAGCCCCACCCAATAAGCTTGTCAGCTCGTCAGAGAATAGGGTGAGGCCACTCTCTTTTACACACACACACACACACAGAAAGGCTCTCTCTGTCTCTGTCTCTCTCTCTGCAAATGGCAGAGGAGGCTGGGAGCTGCAGGAGAAGGCTCAAAGAGCCGCATGCGGCTCTGGAGCCACAGGTTGCTGACCTGTGGTGTAGGCCTTACTTTTGGAGAAACACGGTAGTTTTTGACTTACGATCAAAATTGGGGCCAGAATTTCCAATGCTAAGCAAGGCAGTTGTTAAGCGAGTTGCACCTTTTTGGAAGCCAGCTGGGAAGATTGCAGATGGTGATCAAATGACTCTAGATGCTGCAGTTGTCATAAATACAAGCCAGTAGCGAAGCACCGAAAATTTGATCATGTGACCATGGGGATGCTGCAACAGTTGTAAAAGTGAGGACTGGTTGGAAGACACATTTTTCAATGCCGTTTTAATTTCAAACAAATGATTGTAAGTCAAGGACTAATTGCATTTAGTCTCTCCCCTGCCTCCACCAGGGTATGCCAGATGAGAGAAAATATAGTTTTGCTCAGTTGCAATATTCTTTATACGGTTCAACCTTTAGCAAACAGGAAAATATATTTAGAATGGGTCAGTCTGTAGTGCATGCAGTATTGCACAGTGTTGTTCTCCTACAGTATCATCTGCCTGTAGATGCAATTGCTTATGACCCAGTGAAGGTCTGAATAATGACATCTGAGCCAACAATTAAAACTTGGCCTGCATAGAATACAATTCCATGTATCTAGTCCTCTGAGGCAAGAACTCCAGAATGCAAGCTTGACTGTTGCACTAGAAGTGAATTTGCTTCCCTCTGTGAGCTCCAGAAATTAACTAGGGGATGAGTGGGAGATGCTTCTTCCTCATTTGGGAAAAAAACAAAATTGAATGCTTTTAAGCTTCTCTGACCAGAGTGAAGGATGTTCCTAACTAGAAGCAAAGAAAAAAAAAAACCCATCAAAGTCACCTTGTAGGGGAGATGGGAGGTGCAAAAAATTAGTAATAAAATAAGTAAATAAAATATTTTGCTGTGGAAATTGGCTTGTTAAGTAATAGCATGCAAATGGGTTGCACATCCTTTTGATTCAGCACAAATAATTGCTGCAAATGTATTTTTTGTTGTTTATTTGCAGCTGTATGTTCAGAGCTGAGTGGTCTCTCCATTCATTTAGTCATGCCGCTTAATGTTGATCAAGCTTGTGCAAAATCTGCATTTTCTATGGTGTTGGGATTCGGGCTGAGTGAAAGACCCGGTGTTTGAAGCAGGGCTCAGTTATGCAAGTTGGCGGGATGACTTAGGGTCAATCTTTCACTCTCCTTATAAGCACATCCTGATCATACTTTATTTGAGCTGTTGGGAGAAAGGTGGGTTAATGTCAGACCCCAAGCCAAGAATGATGTGTGGTGGTTTTTCCAAGCTGAGTTCTTTTTATTGTTTCACATCTACAGACAAAATGTTGTCAGAATAAGCACTGCATAAGAGAATAATAGTTGATAGGGACCTTGGAGGTCTTCTAGCCCAACCCCCTGTTTAAGCAGGAGACCCTAACAATTTGAGCAATTGGGTATCCAGTCTCTTTTTAAAAGGGGGGGGGGGTTTAAATTATTCTCCAAAGCACTAGAGGGCAGGAACAAGAAACAAGGGTTGGAAACTGACCAAAGAGAGAAGCAACCGGAAATTAAGGAGAAACTTCCTAACAGGACAGTTAACCAGTGGAACAGCTTTGCCTCCAGAAATTGTGGGCGCTCCATCACTGGAGGTTTTCAAGAAGAGACTAGAGAGTCACTTGTCTGAAATGGTATAGGACAGTGGTTCTCAACCTTTTTAATGCCGCAACCCCAAACTGGTCATAAGTCGAGGACTACTCAACCGGTCGTAAGTCGAGGACTACTCAACTGGTGCAGCACCGTTTGCAGAATGGGACTTTTGGTGGGCTCAGCAGAGCAGAGACAGCCTGGACAATTCCTATTGGCTTTTGAAAGCCAATAGAATTAGACTCTATTCAAGAGAATCGATTATATTGGCTTTCAAAAGCCAATAGAATAAAAGGGAATAGCACAGCTAAGGAAAAGGGGAAAAAAATGGTGGACTGCATTGTTTGGTGACCCTCGTGAAATGGTCCTTCAACCCCAAATGGGGTCCCGACCCACAGGTTGAGAACCCCTGGTATAGGACATAGGTTCTCCTGCTTGAGAAGGGGGCTGGACTAGAAGACCTCCAAGGTCCCTTCCAGCTCTGTTCTGTTCTATTTGCCTCCAGTGATGGAGCACCCACAGTTCTGAAGCCAAGCTGTTCCAATGGTTAACTGTTCTCACTGTTAGGAAGTTTCTCCTTAATTCCAGGTTGCTTGCCTCCTTGATTAGTCTCCACCCATTGCTTCTTGTCCTGCCCTCCGATGCTTTGGAAAATAAGTTGACCCCCCCCCCTTTTTTTTTTTTGCAAACCCTGAGATATTGGAACACTGCTATCATATCCCCCCTCGTCCTTTTCTTCATTAAACTAGACATGCCCAATTCCTGCAAGTGTTCTTTATATATTTTAGCCTCCAGCCGTCTAATCATCTTTGTTGCTCACTGTTCTATTTGCATCTACATTAACTCCCTTTTTTACAACATGTACTCTGTGTACTATTAGGGAGGGGCTGTTCCTCGCCCTCTTTCTCTCACACATTTGGGCTGAGCTGCCTCTTACTCGTCTGGAATGCACCCCCTCTGACCTGGGCATCCATCTTCTTAACCACATTCCCTCACAAACGTTCTTGGGTTTGGAAAGATTGATCCTGCTGCATGGTGTCTGGTTCACCTATCATGCTAAATCATTATGTTTGGCTTGGGTTTGGCTTAAGTGGGATGAGGATCAAAAAGTTTATTAGGCCATGACAAAGCTAAATTAGATGTAATTTAATTTTAAATAAGCAAAATTCCTAGGATTGGTGTTTTGAGTGTTCAACCGTTTCCTGGTTTTTTTTCTACACATAAAAGGCTGTGTATTTTATTTTTTTTTTTAGTTCTGGCGTCACAGTGTTTCTCAACCTTGACAATTTTAAGGCATGTGGACTTCAACTCCCAGAATTCCACAGCCAGCATTGCTAGCTGTGGAATTCTGGGAGTTGAAGTCCACATGCCTTAAAATTGTCAAGGTTGAGAAACACTGGTAGTAATCCAAGATATGAATAATCCAGAGAATGAGATGGCTGGATGGAGTCACTGAAGCAGTAGGTGTGAACTTCAATGTCTCCAGAAGATGGTAGAGGACAGGAAGACCTGGAGGAACATTGTCCATGGGGTCGCAATGGGTCGGACACGACTTCGCAATTAACAACAACAATTCAAGATAAGTCCTCTTATATCTACCAGGAGGCAGAAGTAGCGATGCAGATAGTCCCAAACTTACGATCAGTCGTTTTTGTGGCTATTTGCAGTCACGATTTAGGATGCTTTTGCCAAAAACCAGTGTTTACTTCCTTTTTTCAGCAAAATCACCTTATAGTGAACAATGCTTAACTGCCGCTTAATGATCATAAAATATAAAATCAGGCCTGGTTATATGATAACAAGAATAACAGAGTTGGAAGGGACCTTGAAGTTCTTCTAATCCAGGGGTAGGCAACCTTGGCTCTTTTATGACTCGTGGACTTCAACTCCCAGAATTCCTGAGCCAGCCATGCTGAGGGGAAAGGGAGAGGTTTCCAAGCTGAGCTGTGCTGGCTCAGGAATTCTGGGAGTTGAAGTCCACGAGTCGTAAAAGGGCCAAGTTTGAAGACCCCTGGTTTAAATATTTAAATATTTTTCCTCACAGTCACATGATCAAAATTCAGGCATTTGGGCAGGGGTAGTCAACCTTGGCTCTTTTATGACTGGTGGACTTCAACTCCCAGAATTCCTGAGCCAGACATGCTGAGGGGAAAGGGAAAGGTTTCCAAGCTGAGCCATGCTGGCTCAGGAATTCTGGGAGTTGAAGTCCACCAGTCATAAAAGAACCAAGGTGGCCTACCCCTGTTCTAGTCCAACACCCTGCTCAAGGAGAAAACCCTATACAGGTAGTCCTCAACTTACAACAGCTCATTTAGTGACCATTCAAAGTTACAACGGCACTGAAAAAAGTGACTTATGACCATTTTTCACACCTATGGCCATTGCAGCATCCCCATGGTCCTATGATCAAAATTCAGATGCTTGGTGGCTGACTCATATTTATGATGGTTGCAGTGTCCCAGGGTCATGTGATCCCCTTTTGGAACCTTCTGACAAGCAAAAGTCACTGGGGAAGCCTAATTTGAATTAACAGCCAGGTTGCTAACTAAGAACTGCAGTGATTCACTTAATAGCAGTGGAAAAAAAGGTTGGAAAATGGGGCAAAACTCACAACAAATGTCTCACTTAGCAACAGCAGTTTTGGGGCTCAATTATGATTGTAAGTCGAGGTCTACCTGTACAATTTCAGACAAATGGTTGTCCAATCTCGTCTTAAAAACCTCCAGACTCTCACAGTTTATGTCTATAGTTGTGGGGTTGTAATTTGAGGATTGCCTGTATCATATCATAGCTTGAATGTTGTCCTATCTACTTTCCTTCCTTTGTGTTTCAGTTCTTTAGTGGAAATCGGCAAAGATGCGAAAGATGCATGAAATTTTGGATAATGAAGTCACTCTGGCATTTGTTAGATATGGACTCATTGTTATTGGGAAAATGATGCTCATGAGCACAATCACTGCTTTCGTCCGAATGAAGAAAAAGGTGAGAGTTGAGGGCATGGAGTGAGACTTTTGGGCACAACACTTTGCATGACGGTGATAAGACAGGATTGATGGGAGTTGGGCTTTCAAACCTATCTGAAACGCTCCAGGTTAATCTATACAGGCTAATCCAGGGGTAGGCAACCTTGGCTCTTTTTATGACTCATGGACTTCAACTCCCAGAATTCCTGAGTCAGCTATGCCTACCCCTGGGCTAATCCATCATATCTTTGGGTTTGTAATTTATTATGGACTAACATTATGTACAAACCAGGCCTCTGTGGGTTTTTTTTTAATAAACCATAGTTCAAAATATCTTGTGCATAGTTTTCTTTATTCCATTTGTGTACTACCACAACTGAATCCTAACTCTCGGGGAGTGTAATATAGGTGTAATAATATTAAAGTATCTAAAATAAATTAAGATAAATCAAGCATCCATGATAGATTCATTTCTATTGGCATCCACATTAACTATGTTAACTACAGTAATAATAACCAAAGATTTGAAAGGGTTTGCAATAGTGGTGAATATCTGTAGCTTGGATGTAGAATGAGGGTGAAGGTTCATTCTCCAAGCTTGTGGGTTGGTTTCCAAACGTTTCGTTACCAAGCTAAGTAACATCTTCGGCGGAGTTTAGGGGATGTCAGTGTCAGTGTTCTTCTGTTTATAAGGGCTGCAGGTGTGGGTGTGTCAAGTGAGGGCCTTGTGATAGGTCAGGTGTGAGTCATCTTGTGAGGGGAGGTTACATCAAGTCAGTCATTGGGGTGAACTGGGGGGCGTGCGTGCGTGGGTTGGTTGAGGGTCGGTGCTGACTTTGGTTGGCTACATGGTTGATCTGGATTCTGAGGCGTTTGTAGGCTGGTTGTAAGTCAATGTGTCCGTTGATGGAATTACTTGTGGAATCAAAGCCCCCCCCCAAAAAAACTGGACCAGCAGTTCATCTCACAATGATCCTGAACTGATGTAACCTACCCATCACAAGATCCTCGCTTGACACACCCACACCTGCAGCCCTTATAAACAGAAGAACGCTGACCGTGACATCCCCTAAACTCCGCTGAAGATGTTACCTAGCCTAATAACTAAACGTTCGGAAACCAACCCACAAGCTCAGAGAATGAACCTTCACCCTCATCTTAAAAGTAATAGGACCCAATAGGAATGGGTGGGATTTCAGTTCCTCAGTTACAAAAAAATAGTATCATATCCTTAGTCTAAGGAAAGTGCACTAAAGATATCCTTAGACAAAATTAGTGGACCAGAGGAATGCTGTGGGTATAATTTACTTAGACTTCAGTAAGGCATTTGACAAAGTAGACCACAACCTACTACGTGATAAGATAGAAAAATGCAAGTTAAACAACATCACCACCAGATGGATCCGTAGCTGGCTGACCGGCCGTACTCAGTGTGTGGTCCTCAATGGAACCGCATCTAGACGGAGGGAAGTGTGTAATGGGGTGCCCCAGGGCTCTGTTCTGGGCCCAGTGCTCTTCAACATGTTCATCAATGATCTAGACGAGGGGATAGATGGGGAACTCATCAAATTTGCAGACGACACCAAGCTGGCAGGAATAGCCAACACTCCAGAAGATAGGCTTAGGATACAGGAGGATCTGGACAGACTTGAACATTGGGCGCTATCTAACAAAATGAAATTCAATGGTGAAAAAAGTAAGGTTCTACATTTAGGCAAAAAAACCCAAATGCACAGGTATAGTATAGGGGTACCTTGCTCAATAGTAGTAACTTTGAGAGGGATCTCGGAGTCCTAGTGGACAATCATTTAAATATGAGCCAGCAATGTGCTGCAGCTGCCAAAAAAGCCAACACAGTGCTAGGTTGCATTAACAGAGGGGTAGAATCAAGATCACGTGAAGTATTAATACCACTTTACAATGCCTTGGTAAGGCCACACTTGGAATACTGCATCCAGTTTTGGTCACCACGATGTAAAAAAGATGTTGAGACTCTAGAAAGAGTATAGAGAAGAGCAACAAAGATGATTAGGGGACTGGAGGCTAAAACATATAAGGAACGGTTGCTGGAAATGGGTATGTCTAGTTTAACAAAGAGAAGGACGAGGGGGGACATGATAGCTGTGTTCCAATATCTCAGGGGCTGCCACAAAGAAGAGGGAGTCAAGCTATTCTCCAAAGCGCCTGAAGGCAGGACAAGAAGCAACGGATGGAAACTAATCAAGGAGAGAAGCAACCTAGAACTAAGGAGAAACTTCCTGACAGTTAGAACAATTAAACAGTGGAACAACCTGCCTCCAGAAGCAGTGAATGCTCCAACACTGGAAGTTTTTAAGAAGAGACTGGACAGCCATTTGTCCGAAATGGTGTAGCGTTTCCTGCCTGAGCAGGGGGTTGGACTAGATGACCTCCAAGGTCCCTTCCAACTTTAATATTATTATTATTATTATTATTATTATTATTATTATTATTATTATTATTATTATTATTATTTTACAATATTTATAGCTTTCCTAGATCTGGCGAAATGCAAATATAATATAATATAATATATAATAGTAGTAAAGTTGGAAGGGACCTTGGAGGTCATCTAGTCCAACCCCCTGCTCGCAGGAAACCCTACACCATTTCGGACAAATGGCTGTCCAGTCTCTTCTTAAAAACTTCCAGTGTTGGAGCATTTACTGCTTCTGGAGGCAGGCTGTTCCACTGATTAATTGTTCTCACTGTCAGGAAGTTTCTCCTTAGTTCTAGGCTGCTTCTCTCCTTGATTAGTTTCCACCGTTGCTTCTTGTCCTGCCTTCAGGTGCTTTGGAAAATAGCTTAATTCCCTCTTCTTTATGGCAGCCCCTGAGATATTGGAATACTGCTATCAGGTCCCCCCTTGTCCTTCTCTTTGTTAAACTAGACATACCCAATTCTAGCAACCGTTCCTTATATGTTTTAGCCTCCAGTCCCCTAATCATCTTTGTTGCCCTTCTCTGTACTCTTTCTAGAGTCTCAACATCTTTTTTACATCGTGGTGACCAAAACTGGATGCAGTATTCCAAGTGTGGCCTTACCAAGGCATTGAAGAGTGGTATTAATACTTCACGTGATCTTACAATGGCCTTGCAAAAGGTGCTTTTACAGCCCATAAAGCATTTCTGGCCATCATAAAGCGCAGCCCACCACCACCACCCAGCGCAGTCACGTAACTACATTTTGGCCATTTGGCAACTGGCTCACCTTTACAACTGGTTGCCAAGTGCCTCGCAACTTTGTGATCATCATTTGCAATCTTCTCTGCCGGCTTCCCCAGAAAATAAATGAAGGGGAGCTGAAATCCTCTTTGTGACAGAGAGAAAGAAAAATTCTTCAGCAGGATTTCTGCAGCCCTACAAAGGTGCAGGAAGGGGATGAAATCTTTTGGTGGCTGCAGGGATGTATAAGACCAAACCAGCTGCCTTCTAGGAAGGTTTCACCTCCATGCGGAGCTGAAATCTGTTGGCAGGCAGCTTTTTCATTATATAATAATAGTAGTAGTAGTAGTAGTAGTAGTAGTAGTAGTAAAGTTGGAGGGGACCTTGGAGGTCATCTAGTCCAACCTCCTGCTCAGGCAGGAAACCCTATACCATTTCGGACAAATGCTGTCCAGTCTCTTCTTAAAAATTTCCAGTGTTGGAGAATTCACTGCTTCTGGAGGCAGGTTGTTCCACTGATTAATTGTTCTAACTGTCAGGAAGTTTCTCCTTAGTTCTAGGTTGCTTCTCTCTTTGATTAGTTTCCATCCGTTGCTTCTTGTCCTGCCTTCAGGCGCCTTGGAAAATAGCTTGACTCCCTCTTCTTTGTGGCAGCCCCTGAGATATTGGAACACAGCTATCATGTCCCCCCTCGTCCTTCTCTTTGTTAAACTAGACATACCCAATTCCAGCAACCGTTCCTTATATGTTTTAGCCACCAGTCCCCTAATCATCTTTGTTGCTCTTCTCTGTACTCTTTCTAGAGTCTCAACATCTTTTTTACATTGTGATGACCAAAACTGGATGCAGTATTCCAAGTGTGGCCTTACCAAGGCATTGTAAAGTGGTATTAACACTTCACGTGATCTTGATTCTATGCCTCTGTTAATGCAGCCTAGCACTGTGTTGGCTTTTTTGGCAGCTGCAGCACAGTGTTTGCTTAACAACATGGGAGATAGCTTAACAACTGCAACTGGGAAATGCCGTGATTGTGGTCATTGAGCGAAGCAGTCATGTTGGTGTTTTAATGTCTTCTTCATTCATTGATTGAGATTCTGGTCTTAATTGAGGACTACCTGTAGTCAGCAGTACTAAATCCACTCAGAATTATCCACTAGACCGTGTGAATAGCAGTAACAATAATATTAGTAACCATAATAATAATAGGCGTAGTAGTAAGCCAGAGTGGCATATCATTTCTTTCAATGCTGAAAAACTGATTCTAACCATTGTGTCACCACAGCTCCTTTATTCGTCGTGTTGACTCTGGCATGGTACCTCATAATCTATTCTTTTCTGTAAACCTTTCTCTTGAATAGGCGTTTGCTAATCCTGAAGATACAGCATCGTTTGGAAAAGGAGAGAATGCGAAAAAGTTTCTAAGGACTGATCCTGATGTGGAACGTGTACGGAGGTAATTCAGGAGCTTCTTATCAAGCACGCACATAAAGAAAAAAAAATACGCAGGGTGGTGGAGTGCAAAAGGCTCTCACCTTATGTGCTCGCACTTTATTTTCAATCACTGGCTTAGAAAAAATATTGATAGCGCCTTTTCTCGGTCCATTAATAACCCTGTTGTTTCTTTGATGGTCCTCTATAGGGGTGTGCAGAATGTTCCGTGACCGTTTGCTTGCACACTCCTGTCTCTCCACTCTCCTGGCCGTGTTTATGATAGCCTGTGCTATTGCAGCGTCTCGAGTTTGCATATTTAATTCCCACAGTCAATATGCGACCTAATTCACACCAGAAATTGGTAGTAGCATGAATTGGCCATGCTATTGTTCTGGTGCTGATTTCTTGAATACAATTTGCTGCTTCCCCTTTTTGTAACAAAACAAACAAACAAAAAAATGAATCGGATGGAAGGAGAAATTATCTCCAGGCTGGGATAACTAGGATTGCCTTTTCCCCCCCTCAAATTAAAAAAATGAAGCTTGAGTTTTTATTTTCATATGTTTATGATCTGATGAACAGATGGCCCTTAATCCAGAAGAAAAATCAGCCGTTTTTCTTTTGAAGATTAATGTGAGTTCAAGAACAGTTGTTAATGTGACCGGTAGAAAAATCCTTTGATTATAGACATAAGGACGTTTTTACAGGATCCAATCTGGGTCTGTGTCTAGGACCAGAGGTTTAGTCTTCTGACCTTTTGGACTTGTGCTGGAGTCATCCTTGGGGATCTTCTCTCTCACCAGAATGAGAACATTCTGGTGAGAGAGAAGTTCCCTTGAGGATGGGCTCCAGCAAACGTCCGAAAGCTCGGAAGACTAAATCTCTGGTCCCAAAGACTGGCCCAGATTGGATCTTGCAACATTATCCTGGGACACGTATATTGCCCTTCATTCATAAGGACACTTTGTTGGCATCAAATATGAAGAAGCCTCTAACACTGAATCTCCTTTGCTTCTTTCCCTTAGAATTCATCTCAACGACCTGGAGAACATTATTCCATTTCTTTTCGCTGGGTTCTTCTATTCTTTTTGTGGCGTGACCCTCTCTACCGCTTTGATGCACTACCGGATTTTTCTCGGTTCTAGGATCTTCCACACCCTTGCTTACCTGATACCGCTTCCCCAGCCCAGTAGAGCTTTGGCTTGGATGGCTGGTTACTTAGTGACCTTTTCAATGATGTACAAGATTGTAATGGTTGCTTTCACTATGTCTTAGAAAAGAAAGCTAACACTATTTTCAGCCTGTCGTACTTTGGAGAGTGCCTTGTCCAATCAATAGAAGAGAATATATTTTAGCTCTGGGTTGAATTGTGGACTCCTTGGTGCTCTCTGAACTTGTTTGTTTGTTTGCAATGTTACATTACCCAACTAGGTAACGTTATCAGTGCTACTGAGTGTGGATTTTTCTCCCTGTTTATATATAGTACCCTCAGTGTGCCACGTCTGGTGGGAGTGTGGTTTTCTCCTTGATTCGAGGAATTATCAAAGCCGTATAAATATGATAAATGAACCTTGCTGAATCAAGGAATTACTAAAGAGAAAAACCACAGCCCCATCAAAACTGGAAGGACAAGCTGCTCTATATAAATGGAACAAGCCCCAAACTCGTGAGCATTGATAATGTTACCTAATTGGGTAATGAAATGCCTGCGAACATCCAAGCTCAACAAGCACCAAGGACTCCACCATTAATTCTTCTTCAGAGAAACTCTTTCGTCTCTGCCTCCCAACTTTCCAGAAGGCATACTTGTGCCTTCAAGAATCTTGGACCTCTAGTTGCTTTTTGGACCTAACAGTTCTAGAACTCTTTTTTTTTTGCCATTATATGCTAAAACTGTTTTGTATGGAGAATCTGTCTTCCAAGGAAATGTGTCCCTGATTCTTCCTTCCTCTTAATGGAGCATCACTCAGTGATAGTGCAAATACTTGGTATCCTAGGCACAGTCTCTGTTAGCATAAAAAGTCAAATATAAGACAGTGGTTATATTCTTTTTTTCTCATTCCTTCCTCTCACTCTCAATATGTGAGAAATTCAGTGTGAGTGATTAAATCTGAAGCCATTACATACACAAAACATTGGCTCTGCCACTGAGGTGATTTCTCTCTACAGTTTTGCCTTTTTTTCCACAGTAACTGAGGCTGGTTTATCCTCTGTTGTCTTGTCTAATACCCATGTTTTCTATTTTTCAAACAAGATTGTGAGCCATGACGTACATGGAGGCAGGTTTTTTTGAAGGTGTCAAATGTGGAAGACTGACAGTAAGACCGTGTTCTCTAACTTAGGGCCATCCTGATATCTTATGGTCGTTATCAGTGGTTCTGGTTGGAAATAACAAACGTTGTAGACCACCACATTTGGAGACCCACAAGCTGGAGAAGACTATTACAAAGAATGGCCACTCTCTTTGACTTTCCAGTTACATCAGTTTGATGGCTGTTGGCAAAAACGAAACAAGGATGAGTTGGATTTCTGGTGTAATCCACTAAATCTTTCTTGGATTTGCTGGCAAAACTTCCTTGTTTCAGTGTTATGAGAGAAGGAAGAATGTTCCTCAGTTTTTAAGCTTTGGAACCTGGCCTACAATAAGCGATGGTAGAATCCCTTTTTCTGGGATACTATTTTTTCTAGGATATTAATTCTTTAATTTGTAATTTTTGAGACATTGCATTATTCCTGCAATAAATGCAGGTCATATGAGAAGCAAATAGGGCTTACTCTATGTTACATCTTGAGTGGTTGAGATGTAGTTTTCTAGATGACCTCAGAATACAACTCCTTTTATCCCTGGTGATTAGCTATGCTAACTGATGAATTTTGGAAGTTCAACAGTATCCAGAAAGCTATACATTTTGGTAGGTCCTAGGATTGTAGATCTGGGAAGTTAACTGTGTGTTTGAGACTCACAAAGCATGTCTCAGTTCCAACTCTTTAGGCCTGTTAACTTCTCATCGTCATCCTGAGTTGAGTTCTTGTTTGATTCCTGAATAGTAAATTTAAGCCAATGGTTCAGATTGATAGTTCCACAACATCTGGAGAGTCATAGGTTCCCCACCTGTCTTCTATGTTTTGAATGCACAAGGCCAGAAGCTAGAAGTTATAAACCAATTAAGAGAATTTGTACTTTGAATGGTTGGGCTTTGAATGTTTCACGATGTTTGACGTTCCTCGTGTTCTATCAGTGTTCCAAATACTTTGGTTAAATTTAAGTTGGTTTCTGTTCCCGTTTCTGTTTCTTAAGATTTGAACCTTGTGAACAACTTCCTTTATTCCTGCTTTCTCCTTCACATGTTGTCTTAGCTCATGCAAGCTTTAAGATTTTTAATGTGCACCATCTCTCTTTTGAGGGCACATATAAATGGTAATTTTCTACATATGCTATTTTGGGATGTATCTTTTTGAAGCATAAATAATAAAGACAACAGCAGGAAAAAAAAGTGTGTTGGAATTTTTGTAGCTGTTTTTTTTTTCCCCCTCGACTACAGTCAGCAAATAAGATGTCACAAAGAATCAGGGACTCAGAGCATCAAGTTCTTTGAAGAATATTTACCTTCATAATAAGATACCGCAAGCAATGCCAGTCCTTGTTGTAAAAGAGACTTTGATACAAATAGGTATTTTAACCAAGTGCTGGAATAAACACTGGGAATGAAATTTCTCTTTGTCTAATGTACCTATACAAAGGGGAATATTTTAAGTGGCCCTTACTATGTCTTAGCAGCTTTCTTGTAATTTTTATTTTTTAGAAAACAGAAGAGGCGATTGGACCCTTCAAATCTATCTCCTGAAAGAATAATATATGACCAGAAGTTTATATATGTACTAGGAAAGGGTGACCAAATTTAGTTTGGTGACACCACAAAACATCAAGGGTAAAATATGAGAAAAAGCCCTTTCTTGGCATAGAAAGATGGACAAGGAGATGTTCTCTGCCTTTAAAAAAAAATACTAACTCTCCATCAGATCCCAGAACAGGAATTCTTAAGAGTAAGTAGTAACACAATGAGCAACGTAACAATCCATGGAGTACATTATTTTCAAGAATAAGAGCATAATGATGTGGCCAAATACTTAGAAGTCACATATAGTATAATTAGTCCTCAACTTTTGACCACAATGGATGGGAATTTCCATTGCTAAATGATACAGCTGTAAAGGGTGACATTGCATCACTGCATTGCTTAGTGACTGCAATCTCTGCAGTCCTTAATGCCGTCGTAACTCCAGATGCATGGATTGTTAAGTGGGAAGTGGATGGTGTCCCGCATAAGCATGGGGTGCCTTGAGGGTGGGGGAAGTCCTGGGCAGGCTGCACGGGAATTATAACTGTATAAAATATGCTTTTATTGCAACTCAATTACTAAAGCAACACGTTAATGCACTTTGACCATATGGCATATTGTATACTGCCTTATTCTGGCAATAAAAGAATCAGTTCAAAGTGCACAACCTTTGGTATATGACATGTAAGCCTCTTTCCAAGATCACACTATTCTTTTTGACCTTAATCCAGACTTGATAGATCCCAATTCTTCATAAATCAAAGGATAGCAAAGAAATAAACAGACCAATTCCAACATTTTTTGAATACATACAGTTTTAAAGTTAGCATCTGAAGTCATAACTTCTGTGAAGTTAACTTCAGTATATGTATGTACCCGTATCTGGAATTTATGTGAGCTGGGAGGAAACAAACTTGGGTTCAGTCCCATCAAGACCATATAGATTTGGGGCTTCTTGGATCTCAGTACTTTCCATCTTTACTTTTAGATGGGACTAAGCTCCTCATTCGAGACTGATCATAATCAATCTTGGATTCTGCAGCTTCGTATGGTGCTCCTGTTGCATCCATTCCTGGATCAGGCACTTTTCCAGGTGCTCATCAGTCACCTCACCACAATTGTACTACTGCAGTGGGCTCTACATGAGACTGCCTTCAAAGACTATTTAGAACAGTGGTTCTCAACCTTTTTAATGCCGCAACCCCAACCGGTCGTAAGTCAAGGACTACCCAACTGGTCGTAAGTCGACTTTCCCTGCCAGGGAGCGCCGCGCATGTGTGGTGCCGCTCCCTGCGCCGGCTGAGGCGTAGCTGGCAAGCGGCAGAGATGGCGCAGGCCGACCACCGGCTGGGCCACCAGCTGGTCCAGCCCAAGGGAGATAAGGCACCCGCCGGGCCCCACGTGTGCCAGCAATCCTCCCTGCGCCCACCGGCTCCCACCCCTGGCCCTCTTTTACTTACATTTTTAATAGTTGCTCAGCAGGGAGGGGTGGAAACTTCTAGACAGCTCACCTTCGCTGCAGGCAACTTGCAGCACCGTTTGCAGAATGGGACTTTTGGCGGGCTCAGCAGGGCAGAGACAGCCTGGACAATTCCTATTGGCTTTTGAAAGCCAATAGAATTAGACTCTATTCAAGAGAGTCTATTCTATTGGCTTTCAAAAGCCAATAGAATAAAAGGGAGTAGCACAGCTAAGGAAAAGGGGAAAAAAATGGCGGACTGCGTTGTTTGGCGACCCCCGTGAAATGGTCGTTCGACCCCAAATGGGGTCCCGACCCACAGGTTGAGAACTCCTGATTTAGAAGCTACAGCTGGGCACTGGGCATGTCTAGATGCTTATATAACATCTATATTCCATTTGCTTCTATGTAAGTTCAAGGTGCTGCTTGTCACCTTTAAAACCCTGTATAGCAGAGGTCCCCAACCTTTTGGGCACCAGGAGCCGGTTCTGTGGAAAGAGATTTTAATGCAGACCAGAGGGTTCGTGGTTTTGTGTGCTGCCTGCATCCCCACAGATGGGGCTTTGCTTGTTTGTGCGGCCTGGTTGCTGGCATGCCACGGACCGGTACTGGTCCACGGACCGGGGATTGGGGACCCTCCTATACTGCATAGGGCCTAATTATTTGAGAGATTACCTGTCTCCCATGGTGTCTTCCTGTCCTGTAAAATATGCCAGATTTGGTTTTCTCCTGGCTCCATCAATTAAGCAATATCATCTATTCTAATAGACTCAGGTCTTCTCTGATATAAAGCTTGCCGTCTGGACTATCACCTCCCCAGATATTTACATACAGCATCCCAGTGATCCATAACCTGCGCTGCGTACCAAGTAGGCTTCTAGGTACAATTCAAAGATGTCTGTCCCTGTTAAAGCCCTTCATGGTGCAGGACATGATTATTTGAGGGTGCATCTATCTTCCATGGTCTCTGCTCTTGTGGCAAGATCAGGCAGATGAGCACTTCAAGGGCAGCGTCATCTAGAATTACATTGTCATAGTGCAATTTTGAGAGAACTTAGGGCATGAATAGTCTACAGGATTCTTGGTTGAGTAAGGGCACAAATAGTACACAAACTGGCCTTTAATGCCCTCCTGACCACAACTCCCACCTGCTCCTTGAGTAGAAGCTAAGAATTCAGGAAAATCCTCATGTTACACGCTAGTCTTGAATGTCGAAGTGCAAAACCCTGCAAGTAAAATAAAGGCATCCCTGCGGATTTTACTCTGCTCGTCCTTGCCGACTATAGGGGGCAGTGCTCACCTCCACTTCAAGACCATTGAGCCAGCTCTGTCCAAAGACATTTCCATGGTCATGTGGCCAACATGACATCATGGAGCACTGTTACTGTCTCACCAAAATGGTACCTATTTATCTACTTGCGTTTGTATGCTTTTCAACTCAGGTTGGCAGGAGCTGGGATGAGGACAGGAGCTCTCTCATCGCTTGGAGCTCAGGTCTTGAACCTGGACTGCCAGCTTTCTAGTCAACAAGCCCAGCTTCTTAACCACTGACTCAGCATGCTGCCCCAGCCTCCTGGAACATCAAGGTCAAAACCTTCCTGATCCAGGAGTCCAAACATCTACAGACAGAGCCTGAGGCTCTCCTTCCCCATCCAGACTCAAATGGGCTCCAGGTACCGGGATAGCAACTTCACCTGCATAGCCCATTATTGAGATATAAAATTGGGTTCTGTCACAGAGCCAAGGTGCTGGATGGCTACGCTCAGTGCTTTGTAGACATTAAACAGGAGAGGGAGAGAGAGAGTCAACTCCTCAAGTCAAAGAGAGATCCAACCTAGATCTAAGAAGAAATTTCCTGACAGTGAGAGCAATGAATCAGTGGAACGACTTGCCTCCAGAAGTTGTGGGTGCTCCATCACTGGAGGTTCTCAAGAAGAGACTGGACAGCCATTTGTCCGGAATGGTATAGGTTAAACTGGATGACCTCCAAGGTCCCTTCCGATTCTGTTATTCAAGTGGGGCTGCAGCATGATCTCTCCTCTCCTGTTATCACTGACTGGAACCAAGATGGAGGCGAGTCACTGCAACACTAGTGCCCCCCTACTCCTCTCCCATCCCCCTTTCCAGTGGTGGGATTCAGCCAATTTGCACCACTTCAGCAGAACCAGTAGCTAATTTTTTGTTGCCCAGACCCAGAATGGACTTTCGGAAGCGACATCCACACAGAGAACTGGTTGTTCGCATATTTGAATCCCACCACTGCCCCTTTCCTTAGCTGACATGCGTGTTAGAAGGGCAGCCTATGAGTAGGGACTGTCCGGCTCCTTATATATGTTAGCCTTTCAGCATTTTGGGATAACGAGCAGATTAAAAACATCCAAAGGACATACTTCCGTGCCAAATATGAAGGGTATGAAGTACAAAGCTCTTTTTCAAACTAAACCATTTATATAACTGCCAAATTTTATCGGGCTGCTACAAAATTGTTTTGTCATTATTCCTAAACGCGGGACAATGTCGGCCGATGATTCTCCTTCATTTGAGAAACTCTGCTGCTACTTTTTGTTAAACCATTGAGAACTGCCACTAGATGTCTCTCTTCGGCTTTTCATGTTTTGCAGACCCAGAAGCCACCTACACCGACATATCCAGATTGCCAAGTAAAATTGGTTTTGGTTTCCCGTCCTGCACCAAGAAAACTGAGGTTTTGGACATTGTAGTAACATGGCTCAAATTGTTTCTAGAACAATTGCAATTCATAAAAGAAAACTGAAAGAAAATATAGAGCTGTAGCTGGTTGTGGCAGTAACACAACACTATTTCTCCATTTTGGCATGTGAAGCCATCATAAAAGTCAAGCCAGAGAACATTTTAGACGCTCCAAGTCCCCTACTACTAGAAGGCATCAGGTTGGAGAAGGCTATACAAGTAATCCTCAACTTACAGCAATTCATTTAATGCCAATTTGAAGTTACAATGATACTTTAAAAATGACTTATGACACGTCCTTGCACTTATGACTGCCATATCCACATGGCCACATGATCAAAATTTGAGAGCTTGGCAACCTGTACTCATTTATGATGGTTGCCACATCCTGGGGTCAACATGATTGCCATTTGGGACCTTCCCAGCCAGCTTCCAGCAAATAGATGGTGGAAGTCAGTTTCTCTTAATGATTATGAATTTCGCTTAA